CCGCCAAAACTGGGGCGTTCATTCAGAGATGATGATTACCAATCTCGTGCTTTGAGTATATAATAGACACAACATATATTAGGTCACTCCAAAAGTAATTTCGCTTTTTTCCCAAACGGGCGCCATATTTGATGGAACAATCATTTTTCTGAAAGATCTTGGTGGCATTCGATGCAGCATTTCATCCTCTTCCTAAAGATTATGATTTTGCAACAAAGGCAATGAGCTTTCAGAAAATAACCAAAATCTGCGACCTATGCTTTTTGAGACGGTCATGTTTCACTTTTTTTTCAAACTTTCATATCTTCAGAAGGAGCTCAAGTGAAGATTCGATAGAGCAAACCTTGTAGAATATAGAAAAGCTTTTTCTCTTAGTAATAGTTTGCAATATTTTTTTAAAGATTTTCTAACAAAACCACTGCATTTTGGCAGGCCTACATCAACCACGATCGCATCAAACATCATAATTATTCGGAACTTGAGGCTACCAACATAGTACTATGAGTTAGCATTAATTTTACAAAGCAAGTGAGCGTTTACGGATCCGAAATATCAAATTTCGAGTTTTTCGGACACAGCCTGAGGCTTGTTAAAAAGTTAGTTATGATGATCTTGTTTTCGAAAACTGAATGAGTCGGAAACAAAAAAGACCCGTTAGAGAGGATAAAATGCTGCATCGCATAGTGCCCAAGCTGCTCTTCCTTTGATGTTCTATGAGGATTCAGCTGTCCAAATATGGAAATCGGTAGCATCAGCAAAAATTCTTTTAAAGGCACCGTCCACCCAAAATGAAGGTTGGCGAGATTATGATGGCACACTAGTGTGGGCCCTCACACTAGGCAAACCCCAAGCTTCGCCGCAAACTGCTTCTGGAGCGAGTAATCCGCTCCGGAAGTAGCAAAGTAGGCGGGGCGACCAGGGTCAACCGCCCACTTGCATGCTTTATCTCGCCTGCGCTTGTTGCAGAGGGAGTCGAAAATCCGCGAAATCCCCAAAAATCCCTGTTTCGAGAACCCTCTGCAACAAGCGCAGGCGAGATAAAGCATGCAAATGGACGGGGCGACCAGGGTCGCCCGCCTACTTTGCTACTTCCGGAGCGGATTACTCTCTCCAGAAGCAGTCTTTTGCGGCGAAGCTTGGGGTCTGCCTAGTTTGGTGGTTCACATATATAAAGCTGAATGTCTGCTTGTATGTCTGTATGTAACCTTTGATTCAACTGGCTTGGCACCATTAGGGCGGGGTTTTGTGATCTAATTGAAGCCACTCGCGCCCGCAACGTACCCGCGTCTCTCTCTTTCTGATCATTACCTAACCTTAATTAGGTCACGAAGCCCCGCCTTTGCCGATGCCAAGCCAGTTGAATCAAATGGTATGTCTGTCTGTATGTATGTACGTATGTTCCGAATAGAAATGTTTATTTCTGAACCGATCCGGACCAAACTTGGCACACATACACTTCGGGCTCCGGCGGGTGCCATAGGCTACTTTTCGTCATCATCGATATCAATTTTATCGATTTTTATCGATTTTTTTGCAGAGTTAACCTACCTACGGGGCTGGGAGTTGGCACAGGGGGGTCGAGCATGGGGATTCCGAATACAATATTAGTTTTCAGGAATATCGATTACTTTTATCGATTTTATCGATTTTTTGCAAAGTTTGAGCGGGGCTTGGATTTGGCGCAGGGGGAGGGTAGTCGAGCATGCTGATTACGAGTTCGATATTAGTTTGGCGCTATTCGGCTATCCGGGCCCCAAAATTTTTTTGTGGTGGAGCTTGCTCAAACTTCGTGTATAAGGGTTATCTTAAGGGCCGGGCATACAAGCGATTTCAATCGCGACGCGATTTGGCAATGTTCCAGGTGTCCATAACTCATTGTAAGCACATTATAAATGTACAGAAGATAGGGCACTTTATCAGTTTACGTAAGTTATACACATTATACAGTGCAGTTTGCTAATGTTGGAGATTCGAAGACTTCTGGCGAATTGCCAAATCGCGTCGCGACTGAGATTGCGTGAAGTTTGCCCGGCCCTTTACATGCTGATTACAGATATCACACTTTCTCCGCAGAACGTCTTCCCGTGTGGTTATGACAGGTGTACGGTAGGAAGTCAAAATCATGAGTTCGGCTGGAGTTCGGTCCATATGGCTTATTCGACATGCTAATTACGAATATCATCTCTCTCTCTGCATATTGGAACCTTTTCATAGAGATGTGGTGGTTGGTTATATGGCATGGGGTCTAAAACATAGATTTGCTTTAAACTTCGTTTAGGGTGGTCATTTAGCGCGCTAAACATGAATATCATGCTGATTTCGCAGGATAGATTTTGTTACGGTGGGCGTAGATGGGTCGAAGTTCCAGATTTGCTCAAAACCTTACCTGTAACGGTTCACAGGTATATCGCCTGTGAATATGATGCTTGCTCGCTGTCATAATGCAATAGTGAAGTTATGGTGAGTTGTAGGGTTTGAATGGACATTTTTTCGCTTTCGGGCTAATTTAGATCCCAGATATTCAAGAGATGGGGAAACGCGTTTTGCATAGCGGTCTCCAGCGCCATCCTGATAACCTGTCCCAACGCGTAATGCACGCGGCAAATCTCCCTCCCTCTGTTTTTGCTTAGGCAAAAGCTGCCGAAGGGTGTCTCGCGCGCGGCAGTGGTCCTATGAGGAAATTAATGACCTGTCCCAACGCATAACGCACGCGGCAAATCTCCCTCCCCCTGTTTTGCTTAGGCAAAAGCCGCCGAAGGGTGTCTCGCGCGCGGCAGTGGTCCTATAAGGAAAAGCATTACGGTCGTGGGAAACTTTATACCACACGAATTGCCTTTATCGTGGGATTGAGCACGATATTCTTGAAACAGCACTTTAGGTAATTTTCTGCCAAGGTTTCAGGAAGGTTCATGATTTTTACCTGCTGCCACGCGGAATGACTACGATATTCGTCATCAGCGGCTTGAATAACCCCCATATACCGAGTTTGAGCAAGATCCACCTCAAAAACATTTTAGGGCCCGGATAGCCGAATAACGCCATCAGTTTTTAGAATTATCAGTTGCTTTTATCAATTTTATTGATTTTTTGCAAAGTTTGAGTTATGCGGCTGGGGGTTGTTGAGGGAGGTAGGTGAGCATGCTGATCACTAACACAGCGGGAATAGGGAATTGCATGTAGAAGTGTGCACAGGTAAAAGTGTACAGGGATAGAAATGGAACCTTTATCGTTTTTGACAGGGCCGGGCAGAGCCGGGTAAGCCAGCTATTTTATATTAACTCATTTTTCTAGTGACAGATAATAAATTCTTCTGTCACTAGAAAAATGAGTTATTATAAATCAATCAATCATAATGACTGAAGTAAACCCTTCCATAATGCTGAATTTTTCTTAATTGTTATCTGATTTTATTTGACGTCTAGGTTGAGTATATGAATGTTTGGCATAACTAATTATTCAGCGGTACAGAAAGATATTGACTATGGTTCTGGAAATTATAAAGTTTTAGACTATAATTACAGTCTCGTGTTCTATTTCCTTACGCGACACCATGTTTTGCAGGGAGAAAAACGATATTTTTGTAGCCGTAAATATATTTTCTAAAAAGATTACTAAAAAGACTACTTCTTACCTTTTGTATAGATTTTCCTGTGAAAAGAATTGTTTTAGCGCCATCTAGGATGTCAAAGACGTGCATGAGCATAGTGGTTTGAAAATTCGTAAACAAGTTCAAGGAAAGAATGAGAGGCTGCAATGAACAGGCTGTATAGTATAGTGCCCAGATTACCCATGGAAAAAGTTTTAGCCTTTGAAGCATAATGAGCTCGAAAAAATTTAGAGGCGACTCTCGCAGATTTAAATGCGATCCTAAAAAGCAAAAACTGGGATTTCTAAGCTTGAAATTTTGTAAATCACCGGAGAAATTACGAAACAGCCTAAAATTTTTATGGTAGAAAGTAGGAGAATGACCTTGTATTACAGCACAATTGCAACCAACAAGCTCGGATAGCTGCCGAGAAATTTAGATGCAACCCAGATACAACTTCCTTTACTTCAGTTTCTTTGGCATAAATTTATAAAAAAAAAACTACAGATTGCGAAATAAGAGCAGATTTTGCACAAATGTAGCAGAGCGTCTTTACAAGTACATTGTATGAGCCCGTGAAAAACACTGCAAAAAGATTTAGAAATTATCGATGATCATCGTCAGTAACGATATTCGTTTTTGTCGAGTGTGTTAAACTTCAGAGAGGCTTCGAAAGCAAGATTTCTGAGACAGTCAGCACATTCAAATTTTTCATCAAATTATGCATCCTTTAAAGGCAGCGTCCCGGCAGATTTTGCACTTCCATCTTTTTGCATGCATTGGGCCTTCTCGACCTTTAGATCCCTAATCTGAGCTTTGAAAGGGGTGAAGAAGCCTTTTTCGGGGCGTTTTTTCAATTTCCAAAAGGCAGTTCGGACGAGAATTTTTTGAAGGAGAGTCGGGAGGCCCTGGCACGAAGACCCTGCTGCCTGTAATTTTGGCTTTGTATAGCATGCACAATGCGGGAAAGCGGTTGGGGGGTCCCGCGTCGTCTAGCGGAGAATACTCGTCCGAACAAGGTGTTAGGGGAGCGAAAGGAGGAAGGGGAGCGACGCTTGGGCCGCCCCCCCTGGCTTGCAGAATTCACGTTTTCGGCCCGGAGTTGCTCTTTTGGTTCACTTGGAGGGCCTCCTATCCATCTGTGTCAAAATCTAAGGTAAGTCTATTCTGCCGAGCAGGTGCCTTTAAAAGTGTTTTGAGCTCTTGAAAATGTTTTTGTAAGTAATTTTACTTTTTCATGAATTTATTGTAGAGAACATGTGAAGTATCTCTTAATCTCCTTGTAAGCTTACGGTTTTTAGACAGACTAGCTCCTCTTACGACCCCCTCCCCGTCTTAGGTGCCCACTTTACGACCCCCCCCCCCCTCCCCGTTGCGACAGTCGCATCACACGCTTGACCCTGCCCTGGACGCTTTAACGAAACAATGGAAGCTCATTACCCTCAACCTTGCCATCCAAACCTGCCTTCAAATGTTTTGTGAAAAACACTAGTTTTGCACCTGGTAGAGTTGCTAACCTCGATATACAGGGAACATAAGTTTTTTCGCTAATGCATTTTTCGGTGAATCTTCCTGGCATTTCGAGATCATCGCTCATTTGCAAAGCGGCCCAAAGCGTCTCGTCTGCTCCACGAACCTAAAGTACTTATGCAAGCAATTTCAGAAAAGCTAGCAGCAAGCAATCAAAGATTATCGCAAAAAAATGAAGTGCTTTCATATCTAATCAGAATCTATCGTACCATCCGAGTCATTGGTAGTGTCGCTGACAGAGCGGCTCCAATTGCGATCCGCCGCATCCTCTAGGATCTACCGCTTTCGAGACGTGTCCTTTAATAATTTTTCCACTCCCGAGCGTAAAAAATTTCAAGAAGGCTCAGTCGCGTCCAGGCGTGAAAATTGATCAGAGAGCACGGATCGGAGGATTCAGGGACGTGGTTCAAACCAAGCAAGAACCCTCTTCGATCCGTCTGAGCATCGACACTACATGCAGCAAAAGGAAAAAGCTAGACTTGGAGATTAGAAGGTTAGATCACGCATAGTTAGGTGGACAATTTCTGCAAATGACGCCCTTCTTATTGAAAACTTTCTTTCATCAAAGCATCGAAAAAGTAATCCATCAAATGTTGTTGGTAAGAGCCTCTATCCTATGGACTGTTTCACAAGTTTCTTCTTTACTCTAAAGCCTCACTCTTTCAATACTCCCTGGGAAAAACCGGTGTTACTAGAAAGATTTTATAGCAATCGACCCTCGACAAAAACAACGGAAATTGTTTTTTTTTGGAGTGAAAGGAGTGGAGTGAGAGTAAGTGGAGGGGAACAGGGGACAAAAAACTTTCAGTCAAAAAATGTCCAATCGTTTGTGAAACCTGCTTGAAAAGGCGCGTAACTTTGCGAGAAAGCATTGCAAAAAGCTTGGAAGTACCTATCCCCTTAAAAGAAGTGACCGAGTGGTCCGTGGTTAGCGCGATCGCGTCCGAAGTCGACGGATGCAGGTTCGAGATGTCATCGTTTTGCGGAGGATTGCGTCGTCAAAATCCTTATAGAGACAGTAACTTCAGACCGAGATAATATGAAACTACTTTATCAAAGCAAATAATCCGTCCGCGAGCTGCCGCCAAAGTTGGCGACTTCTCGCGATGTCGCCAACTTGCCGGCATCTATGAGCCACCAAGCAGGGTACATAGAATACTATCAGCCCAGCAATTTGCTTCATATCTAAGTTGAAGCCTGCTTTGTGATACCTTCCAAAAAAATGCCACCAGCCTTTTTACATGAGAAAGTCATCAAAGATCAAATTTGATAAATTTGTTGGGACATTCAGTATTTCCCAAGATGATTGCTTCTTGAACCAACTTTGATTGGTTCTCATTTATAAAGTGACCATAATGCAAGTCACATAGATCAGATAGATTTCAATTAAGCACTATACTGTTTGTACAGAAGTTCTCTGCGAGAATTTAAGCTCATTTAAAAACAATAATCTTTATAAAAGAAAAATCTCAGGTGTAAAGTATTAGCCTATACCTGGAGTTTCCAATTTTGAGTTTTAACCGTTTTAAATCATATTTTTTTTACAATACGTATCCGCATATCTCCATAAGCATGCTCAAAAGCAGTGGCTCGGCAAATCCTCGACCTGGAGTTTTCTCGCTTACCTAGTGTAATCCGAAACCTAGAATCTGGAAATCCACCCAGAGCGCAAAAAATGGAGAAAACCAGCATTTTCAAGACCCCTCATTTTGAATCTGGAGCTGTTACGGCCATGATTAGAGGCGCAGAGTCGTTGCGGAACCCCCATAATTATAACATTGGGGCACGCCTCCTCTGTGGGCGAAAGGGGATTCGCATGCTCGTCCAAGTGCGTGTAAGAATGGCTTGCGCGTACGAGTTTAGGGACAGTTTTCTAGACAAAGACACCATGCCTTGCGCTCGGACTGGCTCAGTTCTCATGTTTGGGTGCAAGCAACCTTCCATATCAAAATTTCGACATGTTCGGTTTTGCCGGACCACTGCTTTCAAGCGAACGCTTCGCAAAACCTAAAAAGCTCTTAATGCCCGAATCGAAGAATGCGCGTATCACCGTCCGAAGAAATCGTACACACTTCCAACTTGCTCATACATATACTCTTCAAAGACACTCGTACAAAATGTTGCTGTTTTTTTTTCGACTAGAAATTGAGAAAATAAGAAATTCCATGTTTTGCCAAAGCAGTGCTGGGCTATCCAATATCAAGAACTCTGCGCTACAAACTTTTGAAAGTATAACCATAACCTTTTTGCATTCTTCAGTTGCTAGTTCTGAAATGACAATTTTAGATTACCTTTTCAGGATGATTTATAATAAAGTCAGTATTTTTTGGTAGTAACAATGTAGGAAGCTAAAAATCTGCGTTCATAATCTGAAGGTTTGTGTTACAGAAGTGAGTTTGAATAGCCCAGGATTGCTTTGACAACATGAAACTTTTCAATTCCTCAATCTTTAGCCAGGAAAAAGATAAAGCAGTTGTGTAAATGGATAAATGTCTGATGTGGTGAGTATATGTCTGGGCAAAGAGCTAGGATGATATCTTTAGGAATTGATTAGTGAAGTTCCTGTTGTTGTGTTATGACCTGAAACTTATTGGCTTTATATGCAAGTATTTTTTGTTTTTCGGGAATTGAGAACTTTATCCAGTCTTCGACTTCAAACTCGATGTGCTGCAAACTTAAGGCTGGGTGCATACTGATTCCCATGTTTCGGAACTGTTCCCGCATAATTCCCGCACTGTACTGGAACTGTTCCGGAACTGTGCTGCATGCGCTGGAGCCGACCCGCATGTTGTTCACACCTACTTCGTGTGTTCTAGAGACCTGTCTATCTCCCTCTCGATACAGATGCGAGACTACGGAGCGCCTTCCTAGAATACATGAAGTAGGCGTGAACAAAAATAGCGAAGAAAGAATGGACGAGTGCACGAAGGCCCATCTTCCCGAATACATGGAGCAGAACAGCGTTCAATCCTCAACCCAGCTCCAAGGTCGCAACTTTTTTCATCACAAGAAGAAGCGGGTAGAAGAATGAACGGAGGCGACGATACGGAACAAGGAAAGGAACTGAAAATCCCAAAAACGGAACTCATCAGAAAACAAGAGAAAGGTCTCAATTTATGCAATTTCAGAATTTCTCGCACTCCCAAAGTCGTAAAAGATGGCTATGGAAACTACGCAGCGGCTTCTTAATACAAACGAATAGGTCTGAGTAAAAATAAAGCGAAGAGAAAATGGACGAGCACAAGGACACACGTCTTGTCGCAAACGCAGTGCAGAAAAACGCTCATTCTTCAACCCGGCTTCGTGTTCGAAGTTCTGCTGATCAAAATGGGAAGCGGAGTAGAGGAACCAAGGCCAAAATGAGGGAAACTTGGAAGAAAACCGTTGTAATGTTCAAAACGGTCAAAATTTTCCAATTTCCGTTGTTCAAAACGCGTGCGGGCCGGCTGCAGCGCATGCAGCACAGTTCCGGATTTTTTCCGGTCAAATTCAGGAAATATGGCCATTAGTAGCTTTGAGAACAGAAATACCTGCTATTCGCGATTTTTAAGGTATTTTGTTTTTTTCACCCAGAATCGGAAAGAAATTTTCTATGTTTGATATATTGTTTGAAAGAGCATTAAGAGCTCTTTCAATGCTTTATCAATTGCTCTATAACTTTACGGTATGGCAGCGCAAGAATGAGCGATGTTCAAAAAACCCTGTTCGAGTTCTTCAGGGTGCCACGCGTAGCGTTGCGGGAGAGGAGCGTTGACGCTCTGCCAGAATAATGGGCGAAGATCGCTTTTATAAGCGTAGTTTACGTTGCAACCTGCTTGTTGTTGATCGAAACAAGAAATTCAAAATTCAATAAAAATCAAGCTGCCCCATTTTTTACCGTTAACCTTAATAAAAAATGGTATGGCCTCTTGTGAGAAGCAATCAAACCTGGATTCTGACGTATGACATAAACGTTGAATCAAGCCGAAAGTATACCTCCTTTCTTCCAGAGGTGAGAGTTGTGGAGTTAACAGAGTCTACATTAACACAAATATCTCTAACTTTCCCTTTGAATGTGTATCTGCGATGGACTCAAAGAAGTTCAGTTCTACAATATGTGTGCTAGACATGAAAAAGCACTGGCGCGCTAATAATCAAACTGTGACTGACTTATGGTTCCAAATAATGGAATGTAGAACTCAAGCATTTTTTAAAAACTTGTGGTGGACAAATATAATAGCAGAAAGCAGGAATAATAAATAATAACAAATAAATATAATAGCAAAAGCAGTGTGGAATCAATATTGCTCAGAATCAAGTATATCTGCGTACATCAGAGAAGAACTGTGTTCAAAAACTGAGCTAGTTTTCCTGGTCACACTGCGAGTACTAGAGAAATTTGGTCATATATAGTGTAGCTTTTCATACTGTTAGAGGCAGCTTCCGGGCAAACTTTGAACAAGATTTTTTTGGCTTATCTGGGCTCACTCTCCTGCTGATTCCAAAGTGCAGCTTGCGAGTGCGAAAATGTCGAAAACGGGCTATTCCAGAAGCTTCTGTTTGAATATAAAATCTTGCCGCCAAGCTTAAGACGCAGAGTCATGGTAGGGCCTACGGCTTGACTTTGTACTCTGGCTATCGATAGAAGGGAAGAACTGGTCGCCGGGCTTTCCGGTGTCACTTCTGAAGCGCTTACCTCGCTTCAGAAGCACAGTAGTGCAGTTAACACTTGCGCAAGAGCTTTACCAGGAAGGGGACCCTGTACGCTACAATTTCACATCCGCCCGAACGCTGCCTTCAAACTTCCATCTCTTACTGTAACTGTTTTCGAAGCAGTTTCTACTATGCTTACATGTAGGTTCAGCTGGTTGATAAGCGTGGTCAAATCAACAGTTTTAACAGCCCATTCGACAGCATCTCGGGATAATGCAGACTGCACAATTCCGCGAACCATAGTTACTTTACCTGCCAGTTGTCTTGCCGTGGCTTGTGATTCTGCAAATGAGAAGTTCTTACGGAAGTTATAAAAAACATCGAAGTACCATTACGAAAGAGTTTCAACGAACGAGCATCCCAATTTGCCGAGTAGTTCCATCTATCGCTTTCACATGGCCTCGCACAAACATCGTTGGCTCCACCAAGCTCTTTTAAGATTGATACCGTTTCATACACGGTTTTAATCATCATGTCGTAATTCTGAACGCGATTATCGATTATATCAGCGTATACTTCAAGTTTATCGCTTGACTTTCACCTTTTTTTGCCAAAAAGTAGAGTCATTGCTGGTCTTAAATAACATTTTGTTTCATTTCTTTTTAGTGATTTTCTGTTATGAATCAGTAAATGGGATGCCTTTTAAAAAAACTGATTCAAAGGATCTTTTCGTATAGTTGGTACTAGTGGTGCCAAAATATTTCATTTCTTTCTTGGACTAAATCGCACACTTCATAAACTAGAGGAATCAGATTATTGAGTTGTATACAATGCAATCTCTTCTTTCTAGCAGGACGCGGAGATGATCGCCATGTCTTACGACCCTTGAATTCTACCTCTTACTTACGCGTCACAATTCATATTTCAGTCTGTGAAGGTACTCTGACAAAGCTTATGCAAACTAAGCAATTTTATATTTCTCTAGCTTTCTTTGAATTTTTTAAATCATTGTCAATTTTGAATTCTGGAAATATCGCGCGACATATAGAGCCACCGAACGTTACTAGTCTCCAGTATACTGAGGTCTTTTAACAATACTCTACCACCATTGACTTCACAAGTAAAAGAGTGACTATGGCGTTGAAATATGTAGATTTTTGTATTTAGATTGCGAAGGTGAAAAATACTGTGATTTTCTGGGCAAATTTGCGTGTCTCGCAAAGGGAAGACAGTGATAGGGGTTGAAAAGTTGCGCTGAATGGTACCTAAATGACTATTCCATGTTGAATGTGTAAAGTATTTTGCCGAGCCCAGATTTTTTACGGTGAATCTTTTATTGCCTTACGTTTCAACATGTTTCGTCTTCTTCGGAGGCCTGAAAGAAGATTGCAGTTTTGATGTGTGAGAATGCTGCCAAACGCCATTCCCGTACTCATCGAGTCCAGACGTTGTCCCGTGCATAACGTACTGAGATGCACGTCGAAAAGGAAACCAATCCTCGATTTACCGCGATATCGATGTTAGTAGCCCGCACCGAAGTACTGGACGGTAGCCGCATAGTGATGTTGTAGACGGACGGCAGTGAGTGTCACTCGTGTATCACGTTTTTATATGGGTAGGGCTACTTCTCGCATAATGATAGGAAGGGCAAAAAATCAGTTATCGTTAGGTAACTGATGATAACTGATGATCTTTTGCCCTGAGGCCTGCATTCAGCAATTTTGTAAAATTCAAAAAAAGGCTAAGTCGGTTTACTAATTTTCCTTGCCAATAGAATCACTCGTCGCTTTATTAGGTGTATCGACTCCGGTAACAATGTACTGATGGAACTTGCTTCGGAATTTGGATTTATTTATATTTTGAATCACTGAAGCAAGATATGTTGAAGAAAGCAAGTATTCAGACGTACCTGAAGCAACAGGACGTAATGCCAGCCCTTGAAATCGGATAAAAGTTTCAGACAGTCGTAATGTGCTTGGTTCATATTGTGTCCGTGTCTACTTATGTTATAGCGCGCTGAAAATTACTGACAAATTATATTTGCATTTGATTTTGAGAAATTGACAAAATAGCCCAGGTAAAATCTGTTTGCTAGCGCAGTGCCTTGAACACCAACATAAGCAAGCGCTTGCGGCAAGAAGCTGTAAGTGGTTTTCCTAAAGTTCTCCTCTATCTTTGTGTTATTTTAAATGCAGGGTATGGTTAATTGAAAACGATTTTGAAATTCTTGTTGTTATTGACCTACAAGGTACAAGTGTGCATTGCACTGTATTCGCGATGTATTTAAGTTCTGCTCGATTATTATAAGATCTGCTATTAGCACAAGTCATACTTGATTCAAGAACCATCCCCATGCTCATATGTTATAGAAGTGTCTTGCCATTAGCTCGCAACATAACTCAGTGTCGACCATGTTATCAAGCTTTCAATCGCGCGTAATCTTTCGACATTACCCTGGAAACGATATCGATTAGTCTGTTTCACAATACCGCTCGCATTTTTTGAAAAATAGACGCGAATGTACATACATGTCGCTACATGTATGTACATGTAGCGACATGTCGCAGGAGTGATCACATGTCACTACATATATGGACATTATAGTCGCGTGGCCATATCTCGCTTCAGAGTTTTTGAATTTTGAATCCAAACCACCATTTGATTCAGTTCGGCGAGGAGAATCTTTTGATATATTGGAAGTGGGGGTACGATGTCTTCGATATTCAGTTTCCAGTTTTTTCAAATTCTTCTGCGGAGGTCCTTCTGCAAATATGTGAAGCAGCGCCTATCCAACATAGAAGACTTTACTAAGTGCTATTCGATAACGCTGTTCTTGTAGATTATTGAGCGCTAGAATTAGGCTCAGACTTCTTCCCAAAGGAGATAGAAGCGTTGGTGAATTTTGGAAAAATCACGCGTTTTTAAATTCTACTCGCCATAACTTCCTTCGGAATAATTTTGAATCCAAAAACAGCGCCTTGCTCAGCTCATCAAGGCGAATCTTCTTATGTACAGCATGTCCTTGATATTTCGATTTCAGTATTCTTGAATCTTTCTGGGGACGTCTTTTCGCGAAGGTGTAAAGCAGCGAGCATTGTCCCGAGTACATTGCAGCAAGGATCTTTCGATAGCACTCTTTCTGTAGATTATGATGTGCTAAATAGTACCCGCAGATTTCTATCTAAAGGAAGTAGAACGATTGTTGAATTGTGGAAAAATCTTGCCGTCCCAAATTCTACTCGCCATAGCCGCAGGATACGAAGCTATCTTGCTAAGCAGATGTGAGTTTCGAAATTAGCAGGTCGGATAACCCCTGTGAGCAGGTTTTCCGATGTGTTCGGTTATTTCATTTTTTCTCGTTTTAAGCTCCGGAAGCTCGCCGATGGATTTTGGTCAAAATGTTGATGCCCTTGAATTGTAAGGAAACTTCGCTTATAGAGATTTTCGAACACGCTCTTTACGAAAATCGTGGTCTTTGATTACAGGGTCTTTTTGGAGAGACACGTGAGGTGACTGTAACTGCATCATGAAGGTGCGTAACTTTGGCCGCACTTAACGCGTACCTGTCAGAAAATTTGCCCGCTTACTTTTATAGGTTAAATTTACTGGGAACTGTGCCATCGAATGGTGCACGTCCCAGACTCCAACAAAAATCGCCCAGTTACGAGCCTGCGAAAACACGTCCTCATGAATTTTACCCAAAATGTAAAGATCGCATATTTCGTCGGAATTCCTCCTTGAGCGCTTGTATAGTAGACGTCATCCGTCTAGTCACCTCTGCGATGTGTGTCACTGCACACAATTTTGAAATCCCGGATGAGGTGCTGGGTTCGCGCCGTGCCGTACTTGCACCAAGTGCGCATACGGCTAAAAATCGACGCCAAATTCTGCCCGTTTTTCTTATTTCGTTTTTTTTTGTTTTTTAGCTGCATGGGCGTCTAGTTTTCGATGATTTGTTATCTTAATCCTGCAGGATTGCCCATTTGCCTCCCTTACCTGGAAACAAAACTGAAATTTTTTGAAATATTCGATGTAAAACGGCAATGCACAGCATAAAGGTAGAGGTTAGTCGTGTAACCTCTACGAGGTTGCTAATTTCGAAACTCACTCTGCTTAGCAAGATAGCATCGTATACTGGGGCTTTTGCGAGTAGAATTTGGGACGACAAGATTTTTCCACAGTTCACCAGCCGTTCTATTCCCTTTGAAAAGAAATCTGCGGCTACTATTTAGCATATCATAATCTACAAAAAAAGTACGTAAAGTCTTTTATGTTGGATAGGCGCTGCTTCACATATTTGCAGAAGGACCTCCGCAGAAGAATTTGAAAAAACTGAAAGGGAATATCGAAGACATCGTACCCCACTTCCAATATATCAGAAGATTTTCCTCGCCGAGCTGAATCGAATGTTTGCAGAAATTCGTCCACTCTGAAGCGAGATATGGCCACGCGACTGTAATGTCCATACATGTAGCGCATGTGCATCACTCCTGCGACATGTCGCTACATGTATGTACATTCGCGTCTATTTTTCAAAAAATTTGAGCGGTATTGTATGATTATTGAGCATATAAAAGGAGCTAAGCCTCAAGTATAAAGCTTGCTTCAAGTTCTTGTTTCACGTGCCGCACTACCATTTCAAGACCCGTTTGGCATCAACTTTCGAGTTAATCGTGACCAATTAATCGTGACTCTTGGATGAATTGTGACCAATTCATCCAGGAGCAATCACGGACAATTCATAGAAGTCTGTGTAAAGAAGGTGCACTACCATAATCAACCAGTTTAGCATCTCGGAGCCACGCAATCATTCGCCAACGCATTGGAGTGCAGAGCTAAGAGCAGGCAGCTAGATTTCATACATCACGTGTGGGCATCGGCTACCAGATTTGTTCAGAAGTGGAGACGTGTTAACTCAAGCGTGCTAGCAAGAGAAACAGGAAGCAATGTAGTAGTATAGGAGTACAAGCTTACCAAGTTACCTGTCTGGGTGGTCCGACCCTAACCCAATCAGGAAGCCGGCGAAGTGCATGTGATTTGTTGGAGCTAAGTTGGCTGCCATGCAATGTTGCTGATGATAAACAATGATGCATTACTGCCATAATTATGAGACAAAGGTCTTCTCCCTAAGAGCTCTGTTTCAGAGCTGTTTCAGAGTCCAGAAGATAACACCGTCTTACGGGCAAAGTACTAATCCAGTCACTATTTTTTATTGTCATTATCATGACAATGAAAATATAAATCTTGAGCTCTAAAAGTTGTAGTAATACCTACTTGTGAAAATGCAGCAATTCTCGGTTTATAGGAGTCTTTGTGCTTGGAAACCTTTGATGACGTTCCACCAATTAGTTACAAGAAATGCGCACCCAACCACCTAACCAAGAAATTCCTCTTTCTAATTTTTGTCCAGTTGTTACCCATGGCTACAAAAGTAGTGAAAAAAACATCAAAATCAAGTCTCTTTCATTATCAGAAAGACGAAAGACTTTTTTCGAACTCAACACCTTTACCACGAATAAAGCACTAGTATTCAACTAGTAAGTGGTGTTTTTTGATGGGCAAGCCCTCAATCCTAGACTGACGGTGGATAGCCTTTATGCTAATCTTTCAAAAGCGCTTGATAAAATTCCAAACGAATCACTTCTTCTTAAGCTTCCAAAACTTGAAATGGTGAATCTGTAGTTGCTTTGGTTTGGGTCCAATCTTCAAACAGATTCAAGACTCTTGGAGTGTAGCAATTTTATTCTAGACCATATCACTGTCCCACAAGGCGGAGGGCTATCCCCCAACTAATTTCAATCTTCACCATCGAATTCCTTATTGATCAAGAGTGAGAGTCCAAATTCAGCTGACAATATTGAACTGTACCTTTCCCGATCAGGGGCACTATCATGACAGGCTTGCTTCACGTCAATTTTCGCAAGCTGAGTACTGCTACATAAGCCATGCGCTCGGTATAAATCTTTGCAAATGCTCCTTTAGTCAAAGAGTTAAAGACTCGTCGTGATAGATTTTCGACTGAATTTTGAACACATTGATTATTTGATAAGGAAAGCCCACTTCAAAACATTGGGCAGCTTTTCAAGATATTCATATGTAAGAAAGAGAACATCTTGATCGGATTATTTTATAAGGCATATGCAAATCCACGTCTTGATAGTTTCCCCGTACGGAGTCCAACATTCAAACGAGTTTTGAATGTTGAGAAAGTGCGACAAACTCACACACTTACAAATTTGCTGGACTGAAATCGTCAAGTTGCACGAACGTTATAGCCAACTAACTCGCATACCAGGCTCCGCCCGATCCTGCAATACTACCCTTCAAAAATCTCCATGCGTTGATTCCGAACATTCCCCCGTGCCGGCACCAAATTTATATGGCAGCACCTTGCCCCACTACATTTTTCCGATGGGTAATTGATCAGCACGCTCACTTACCATTCGATTCAACTGGCTTGGCATCGGCAAAGGCGGGGTTTCGTGACCTAATTAAGGTCAGGTAATGATCAGAGAGCACTCGCGCGAGAGAGACGCAGGTGCGTCGCGGATTGCTAATAATCAACCTGCTCACTTATCCGCTGCGCGAGCTCCCAGTCCCGTAGACGAACTTTGCAAGAAATCGACAAAAACCGATGAAATATATTATACATTCGATAAAGGCTAGTCTATGACGCTCGCCCCGAAGCGTGTGTGTGTTTTTGTTTTATTTTCGTTTTTCCCCCTTTTTCTAGATTTTAGAGGTCTTGGGCCCGAAAAAATTCTAAGAAGCACCCCCAAAAATTTTTCGGAGTGCGTGACTAACGTCACGCACTATCATTTGAAAAAAAAATATTTTCGCCCTCCCGAACGGAAATCCTGGGACCGCCACTGGGTCTCAAATATAGGAATACCGACCTTATGACTCACTAGCAAGGAGGATGGGCAAATCCATGGCTAATTGTTGTTTTGGATATGTAAAGAATTTCAAGTAAATTCAATTCATCAGCATATGTGTTGCGCACTTCCACACAATATAGAGATTTCCGAAGATTTTGTGAATTTTCGCTGATATGTAGATGATCTGTATGATAAAGCCGAGTGTCTGTATGCCTGTCTGTGTTTACGTACGCTCCAAATGAATTTCTTTGAGAAGTTCTGGACCAAACCTGGCATACACACACTTCGGGGAGGGGCGAGTGTCGTAGGCTAATTTTGTCAGTAATCGAAATCAAATTTATCGATTTTCTGCAGTTTCATCTACGAGGCGGGAATTGGCACAGGAAAGGGGAGCAGGAGGGGAGGGGGGGGGTAGTGAGCACGTTGATTACAGAATGTCACTACAGTGCCGGGCGGAGCCGGTTTCCAGCTAGTATCTCTTAATGATAGTGTTGTGCTTTGTAGAGCTAATCTCCCCAGGACATCATTGCTTGCACGCTTAGGCAGGGGCTACCCTCCGCGGTGAGTATAGCATGGCGACGGGCGATCGCCAGTCGCTAAAGTGAACGACTGCACTTTTAACCAGGGTCAAGCAAGGGATGTGGCACACGATCGCTGGTTACGACCCCCCCCCCCCTAATTGCTGTCTTAATAAGACCCCCCCCCCTGAACTATATACCTAAGATAGCATTACCAGAGTTGAGAAAGAGGCCAGGCACAAGTCTTTCGAAAACAACCCCCCCCCCTCCCATGAAAGCCCTCAAACGACCCCTTCTTCCTCCTCTTAACCTCTAGACCTCAAAGTGTGACATTCTGGAGGACACCGGCTTTTTCTAGAGAGTTTCCAGATTTCTGAGAGCTGTACGCCCGATTTGCTGTAACTGCACTTAATCACACGTAATTTGACAGCTGATTTTGATCTGAATGGGCATATTGAAAGGGCCATAATTTTCTTATGGATGAGGCGTTCGGCTCCAAATTTCCAGTGTAGCAAGAAGAAGCGCAGCGCTATGTGCTGAATACTCATACCAGCAGTGGAGCGCTTTCTGGATTTTGAAGGCAAGTTAAAGGGGTGCGGCACACCCCCTTAAAAGCTGCGGCAGCCGCAGCTTTTAAGGGGGTGTGCCGCACCCCATTAACTATATCAAAAAAAACATTTTTAGCGGACAGTATTTATATGATTCGATAGCCTAAACCTTGTAGATTCCATAGGACTGTTTGGAGCCTGATTCGTCTTCTTAAGTCTGAGTAATATTTGGTGAAAGCACAGCGATCAAAAGCGAAAAATGGGAAAAACGAGATTTTGGTTGGCTTCTAATTCCACAGTTTGCAGGTCTTCTGAAGCGGGATTCCTGAGGTGGACAAAGAAGGAGTAGTGCTTTGTCTTGAGTGCAAAAACGGATAGCTAATTCACCTTTGAAACAAAGTTAACCATGTTGGAATTTGACCATTTCATTGGTAGCCTAGTATCTTGAATCTTCAGAATTCGCTCACACTTTATCTACAGGGGTTAATTGACATGCTAATTATGGATATGATACAAATATAATGTTATCACTGTTACCAGATTACCCAACTACGACCCCCTCCCTTTTTGACTCCTCAATACGACCCCCAGGTGTGGCGTGCCGCACCCCACGCTTGACCCTGCTTTTAAAACCTATCAATTGCGGGCATGTTTTTTGTCCATTCAATACGTATCCAATGTGTAGTCGCCAAAACTCGCGATTGCCAGTCGCGACTACTGGCGATCGTCAATCGCTATATTGGCGACTTTGTCTTTTATGCGTATCGATCGTCAACGAGTTGAACATTCAGTCAATACGCATTTAACCTGTAGTTGCCAACATCGGCTATCGCCAAACGTTACTACTGGCGACCCCCAGTCGTAGCGATTTATGACTGGCAGCAGTGGCGATTGGCGATCGCTGTTTTCGGCGACTACACATTTGATATGTATCGATTTGACATGTGGTAACTTGTTTGCGATCAATAGCTATGTAAAATGCAGTCGCCAATAGTAGCGACTGGCGATCGCCTCGACAACAAAAATCACTCAATTGACAAGTATCTAATGTATTTGATGCATATCGAGATCGAAAGTACTCTTAGCAAGAGCATAGTGCCTATCTTGCCTTTTGAAAGAATTAAGAAATTTTTTTCAAAGTAGTTGTTTTTGTTCGAAATTTTTGGACATTTTTACCGAATTTGGCCAAGGAAGTGGACATCCCCTGAAGTAGTGTTCTGCTCTGAGCAACGTGTGCTACATATTTCCCCTCATAATATCAGTGTTAATCACATGCTCATCTTTCTTAGGGAAAAATTTTTGTACAGCAGTTGCTTTTGAAATTCAAAATTATCAAAAATTTTCCTAAAATGCCCGGGAAACAAGATATATTAACTCCTAAATGATCTGATGCCCATTATTTTCGACGTTGAGCTTTTCGAAAAATCGATGAGAATGGGTAAAATAACAAGTATAATAACAAACTGTTACTACATATCAGTTGCAGAGTCTGGTGCACCAGCAGCTCCCATCCGGCGCGGCCGCCTCGCGTGCACTTTGCATCTGTTTTGCAAACATGTGCTCTCTTATCACTTTCCCACCACGAGCATGGGAATTGCGGAGCTTCAAACGTTAATTAAGAGTGCGAATATGATTAGAGAGCACGTTAGCGAGAGAGGCGCAGTGCACAGGCGAGGCGGCCGCGCCGAGGCGGAGACGCTGGTGCACCCGACTCTGCAATTGATAAATCCTCTACATTTGTATTAAGCATGCTTTGATAGCCCTCCTGCAGTTCCTCTCAGCCCTTTATTCCAGAATTGCAAATAATCAATGAAGATTTGAGTAGCGGGTATTTTTATGGACGGTTAAAATTGCAACCACCGTACTCATTTATCCTACCGTGTCAACTCCTATCGCTTAGCTCAAAGATTGCAAATGACGAGAAAATTGGTAAGTATTGGCTTTTTTCCTAGAAAGTCATTTTACTTGTAATCGGCATATTCACTTATCACCCTAACTCAACACCCATCTCGTTGCTCAAGGCTTGCAAAATTGATATTGATATTGATATTGATATTTATTGCACATAAGTGTGCCATTTCAATCAAAATTTAGTATACCTTTGAGATGAACAGTATAGTAAGATGTGTAGACAAATTAATAACTGGTATAATTCAGTTCAATTGTCATCACCATAATATGTTTGCATATTTCAAGGCACTTGCCATGCGATTCAATAATAACACGCTTCAAACTGGTGCTGCACTCGGTGCAGCAGGCTGCCTCGAAGGATCTTCTGATGTTTACAGGAGGAGTTCTTTTAGTTTAAAGTTGTTAAGTCAAAGTTTGAGCTCCTACTTCTCAAATGACTCTGTAGAGTTGTGCCGCTCATATTTGTTTAGAAGATATGAGGACAAATCGAACACAGTTGCAACGAAGTGCGGCACCGCGAACGACGCGTGAGAGGTCGCAACTTTTCCTTGCTTCAATTTCAAGAAGAAAAACCGTGATTTCAGTAATGATGTTCACCGTGTACAACATAAATGCTATTCAAAACTGAGTTCTTACTCCAATCTTTCAAGAAAGCACAAAAGCCCCTCTCAAACGACAAAATTCAAACACTTCAAATTCACTCAGAACTTTGGATATGGGGCTTACCTGACATGCTGATTAAGGTGTAGCCCACAGGCTGCGAAATAAGACTCCTTTGTAGGCTAATGGCCAAAAGTACACTCTTTTTCGCCGCGTGCGATTTCGCGGTCCGAAACGTGTTCAATGCAGATAGTGCAACATAGCATCTGCGTGTCGTGTTTTTTCGAACTAGCCAAAACATGTAAAAATAGTGTAATGTTCCCTTAGTGTTCAGTTTTGGATGACATTCGTCAGACACCTCAGCCGATAAACGCTTACTAGTTTTCTCCAATAAATCTGGACTTGTCAAAAAAAATCACCATTCAATAACCTTCATCAAAACTGTAGATGTCTATTCAGGTTGCAAACTCTTTTGAGATTCGTAGCCGATTTAATGGGTTAGCCTTGTCAACGTACTACTGGTAGCAAGTAAAAAGTGTAACAAAGATTAGATTCCGACTTTCTATCTAAGTATAGTCTTTTTTGCTAATCACGTTTCTGAATATTCTACTTCATTATCTATCTAACAACATGATAGATGGTTTTACCTAAGACAGCTCCGGAATCGCTGTACCTTTTCATCGATTGGAGTTTTTCAGACAAGCTATAAAGTGCTGTTCGATAGCTTTGAATCTAAGAAGTTGGTAGCATTTACCTTTCTATTGGTCAAAAAAGTATTCGCTGTTTATCGGACATTTAATTTTGCGATAACCCGTAAAAAGAAAACATACTTGGAGATAATAGCACATTCGGCAGGCACTTCGAAAGCGCTTCAATACGAGCATAGAATTTACGACTGGATTTTACGTCTACCGAAAAGCAGAAGATGTTTTGCGGGTGATAGCTGGATCTGACTTCATCCTCTATGAACTGGTAGCTCTAAATTATAAGGTATCGTGGGTGCTCAAAACCGTGCATACTCACCAAAGAAAGCAGAAAAAGTTAATTTAATATATAGATAATTTGAATACATCAGTAGATTTTGCAAACCGTCAAAACCGTAAACATCAGCATTTCTCGAAAACTGGGCCGCTACAAAGGATACAAGTACATGGTCTCACTTTTGTATGTATGAGCCCTATGATCACATGCGTGGGAGGAGCTCAGGAAGTTTAGAGGCGGAGTTTGCCATTTCACCTCATCATTTTTTCCTTATTTCCAGCCATGGAAAAATTTCGAAAGTGTACAGTCCAATGTGTGAAGTGTCAGGCATATGCTAGAATAAATGGGGGATTTTTTAGACACTTGAAGCGAAGATACGATTTTTGACAGAAATGTTTGTTTTCGATTACTATCAGATATAAGCATAAAACTTCACGTGAGATAGGTTTTGGGCAGACTTTTAATAGCCATCTTGTAGAGCTTGCTTTTCTCTGTAATGAGTACCCAAGCCACATCAAGTGAAGGGAAGTAGTAAAAACGGTAGAACATTATGAGACACCCTAATACAATACATTTGAAAACAAACGTATGAAGTTAATATGCAACATATTTTTCAAAACTTTCCACAGCTCTTTTTTGACAGAGATCATTTGTAAATATTATAACTTATAAACGGGCTAAGCTTGGTTACGCGTTTTTGCGTGTGTGTGTGTGTGTGTGTGTGTGTGTGTGTGTGTGTGTGTGTGTGTGTGTGTGTGTGTGTGTGTGTGTGTGTGTGTGTGTGTGTGTGTGTGTGTGTGTGTGTGTGTTGCATCACATTTGCACTTTATCCTTTCGAGAAGTATGGAGTAAGTTCGGCAATTCCGCTGTATAAATGAGGAATGATATAGGCAATATAATCTACGATGAACTCGTAAAGTCATACAGCGGATATGTACAGATAAGAACTATACGAGCAGGGTGTCATCGATCCCTATCACCTTGAGTTTCTTCACTAGCATGACATGACAGAGCCTATGAAATGCTTTAGATAAATCTACAGAGTGTCCGTAAAGTATGTGTACACTGTTTGATCGTTAATCTTCCTTTGCAACAAGTCTTTTGCCTTGCCTCAGGTACCGTTTTGTAGAGTTGGTCTCAATCTATATTTACAGTATGGAGCGAATCACCGATCGCTCTTTATTACTGTAGGATTACGGTAGAAACTCAAAACATATGATGTCAATGTGGAAAAAGCTGTCTCAAAGTTTTTCAGGAAAAAAATGTGAACAGTTGTGTGATAGAGTTTTATGGACGCTGAGTTCAATACTCAACTACTCACAAGATTGCGAACCTTTTTAAAAGGTGTAACTCACTTTTTAGGAACATTGAAAAAATGGCCGTTACCTCTTACCCGGCATAACTCTTTAATGAAGCATCATATTAAGTTGGGAACTTTGCAGTTAGAATCAACAACTCTAATTAGCTTAGTGGAAAAGTCTTCAGGCTGTTTTGTCTCCTTGCTGAGGCAAAATATGGCCTTTCATGGCTCAAAACCTTCTTTGAAGTTTCTACCGTAATCTTACAGTAATGAAGAGCGGTTATTCGCTCCATTCTGCCAATCTAAGTTGTAGCCAGCTCTACAAAAAGGTATCTCAACCAAGGCAAAAGACTTGCTGGGAAGAAAGATATAAACGATCAAACATTGTACACATACTTTACGGACACCCTGTAAACACATCCCACACATTTTTTACTATTTAAGGCAAGAGTTCAGTCATGAATGCTGTCAACCAAATTTGTTGTCGTAGAGGCACCATTGATGAAACAATGCTGCTCTAGAAGTATTCTCAGTTCCTTTGGTTAGAAAGCTCACCAAACGGGAGTTCGACGTAAACCGTCCCCTTTTTCTAGTCCCCCTCTAACCCAAAAAGGGAAGCTTGTTTAGTCAAAGTGGCCTTTCTAAATGATATGTAAACCATATTGAAGGGGTATAAAACGCTGGTTTCAAAACTGTCTTTCATATCTGCAGAACGTTTATAGACGAGGAGTTATGAGCGTTTTTTGGAGCCAAAAATCGAATGTGCATTATGGATAAAATAAGTTGAAAAAACATACCAGCCCTCCAATAATGTAAAAAGTGTAGTATATTTCCATTTTAGAGTGTGTTTCAAATAAAACGCTCTGTGTTTATTGCTGCTTTATTGAAAGCTAGAAAAAGTATTACGGCTATTTTTGTACTACTTGCACGTTCAAATTTTCGCTCCAATATGCGCTCATGACTCCTCGTCCATAGATGTTCTGCAGATAAAGCGAGATTTGGGATCAGCATTTTGTGCCCTTCAGTATGGTATGCATCCATTCAAAAAGGCCACTTTGATTAAGCATGCATTCTTTATGAGGTAAAGGCATTTATGCTGAAAACAGGCGTGTTTTGTGAAAAAGTCTTTATGCAAAGAATGAAGACGCCTAGTTGTATGACTGTGTTACAAAGCAATACTTTGCCAGTAAATGTAGAGCGTCTCTCTTTTTTTCAACTTTCCTCTTCTTAGAAATGGAGCGCGAAGTAATTCATAAAAAAATCAGTTGATGCTGCAGCTAGACAAAAAAACTGCACTTCGCCATGGAAACTGCCTATGCTCTGCACCTACAACGCCAGAAGCGGTTCGACAAACGCTAACCTCCACGCTTTCTCGACACTGTAGAGCCATCAAAGTAACAATTCATCGCTCTGCAGGCCTTAGCATTCGTGGTAAGAAGGATCCATCACGAAACGTTAGAGATGTTGGCTTTGTCATCCATCCATCTGTCTCGCCCATCTTGTCACTTTTCATGAAATCCTATCACCTTGACTAACCATCCTAAGAAAACGATTTCACGCTAGAAGACCATCAGCAGCATCAACTGCTAGCTAACATCAGCAGTGACGATTTAGAACTATATGCTTTCTACGAAGACGTGAGCAGGTCGTCCGCAACGAGAAGTCCTTCTACAAGTTCGTTGTGGGCGACTTCAACGAGAAGATCGGATGCGACTAGAAGAGGAATTGGATCGGGATATGATGGGCTCCAGAACGAAAATGACAACCGTCTCGTTGTGCTTCCCTCCGCCGCACGACATTTTTCATGGAAATTCATTTACGAAGGAACATCGCCGGTGGACATGGGAATCGCCCAACGGAAGGACTCACGCGGAGATCGACCACACCAACCGAGTGGAGAGCGGAGAGAGCGCCTTTGTAACTTCCGAGAAGAACCTGGAACGAGTTTGAAGACCACCAAAGAATTACTCGGAAGAAGAAGATCCTTGAGGCAAGGTCCCATTTCGAACGAAGGATCGCTAACGCCAATTTCAGAACAGCTTTGCAAGAGGATCTCAGTAAGTACAGGCAAGCCAAGATGGAAGCAGTCGAAGGAAGAGGAAGTCCTAAGAAGTGCCGATGGGACCTCTGCGATATCACTTGCCGCTAGCCGCACAACTAAACGAAGACGGGACTCCGACTTCGTTTAGTTGTGCAAGATGAAATCTATCGCGAAAAACTTCTACACCAACCTCTTCCGCTCATCAACACCCGTGCCGATGCCCGTTGTTCCCACTGGAGAAGTACCACCACGAATTCTATCTGCTGAAGTGCGCATCGTGATTTGAACCATGAAGACGTCCACGGCTCCAGGACCATACCATCTATACGCCGATTTTCTGCGCGCCGAAGGACAAGGTCTACACGAGATTCTCACGTTGACCTAACATCTTACCTTCAGGAGGAAATGATCCCAAACAGTGAAGAACCTCAAAAACCGTCCTCCTCTTTAAGACGGGCGAACGGGAGGTCGGAACTACCGTCCAATAGCCTGCTGAGTGGGTTGTACAAGCTTCTTCAAGAAGATCGTCTTCGCTCGATCTAGGACACTGGATGAAGCCCAACCCCACCAACAAGCTAGTTTCGCAAAAGATCTAGTTGTGCAGCACATCCAAACGTTCCGGTCACAAAAGTTTGCGGAAATACCTAACCTCGTTGACTACGAGAAAGCCTTTGACAACGTTAAAACGAATGCCATTCTGTCAGCGTTAGTCGATTAAGGAGTGTTCCCAACTTACGCAGGGACACTAGCCGAGTGCTACAAGGACTGCACAACACGATGCAGCTATTCCATCGCCCCCTGACCATTCCAACTGGAAAGGGGCTTCGATAGGGCGATACTATTTCGCCGAAGCTGTTTACCGCGGCCTTGCAGTGGCTGATGAAATCACTGGACTGGGACGAAAGAGGCATACGAGTTGATGGGAGATTCCTGTCTGACCTTCGTTTCGCGAATGACATCGTTAACTTCTCGTGCAGTATCAGTGAAGGCGAGACGATGCTGAAGGAACTAAACGAAGCAGGGAAGAATACCGGATTGCGCACACATTGAAAGAAGGCAGTTCATGAAGAACGACCTTTGCGAAAATGCAGAAATGAGGTTGGAAGTCACCCATATTATGTAAACGTCTTCTTACGTGTATCGCGTTCGATGAACATGGAGAACGACGAAAGAACTTAACAGGAGAAGAAAAGCAGCTTGGGCCGCCTTCGGGCCTCTGAAGGAAGCCACCGACTAACTGACCGACCCGGAGTTTCGTGCTCACCTGCTCAACTCAACCGTTCTTCCGGCGCTCTGTTACGCAGCTGAGACTTGGGCCAACACTCAAAAGCTTTACAAACCACCCACAGAGCACTTGAGCGCAGTCTATGAAGATGAGTAGAAACAAGCAACATCTAATCGGACTTCGCATTACGGATATGAGAAGAATGTCCCGTCTTCATGACAATACGTTGCGAATGCGAAGCATCGATGGGCCGGTCACATCATGAGAAGACGACAGACGGACTTTAAGAAAACATCAGAGTGGATCCTCGCGAGGCGAAACGTCCTCAGAAGACCTCCAACGAGATGGGCAGACATGTTTGTGGAACGGATGGACCAGCTGAGAAGTCAGCTGAATACAATTTTTGGAACATGTGGACGCAGCTACCGACGTCAATAAGAAGATCGTGAATGTCTGAACGAGAGACAGGAAGAAATGGAAACCTATGTGCTGGAGACCGCACGTCACGTGAAGCCGGGCCATCTAAGTATATAAGTATCTAAGTAAGTGAGTATCATGTGTTAGTATAACTTGCGGAAATCAGCGTAGACGTGAAAAACTCGACCAGGTATCAAATGGAATTTTGAAGCTGACTTACGCTCAGAAAGGAACTTTATAATTAGTAATTTAATACTTATCAGTGTGTCATCTCTGCTTCGCAGAGGCTCACACTGGTCAACGTATTAGCACACTTACATGGTGATGCAGATTCTGTGATCATTCGTCGTTAAGTAACACACAAGAATCCCCTTTCATGCGTCTCATATGCGTCAAAACGTTGTCAATCATTCCTCAATGTAATTTCGTAATAGATCAACTCCAACTCAAATAATTGACAGGTTAATGGCTTATTATAAATCATGATATCAGATATCATAGTCACATCCTCTGCCTGGAAATCAGATACCGATCCAATACAAGCTATTGTGGGTTCAGTGACAGTTCCGTCAACCTTCGCAGCAGTGATATTGTGGGTGAACCCCGTTTTCTCTGGTGTTGAGAGATTGTGACTGCTCTAACCAGTTTTCTGTAAAGGGTCATAGACAGTACGACACACGTCAAGGACATTCTACAGGGTCGATCAAAATTTTGATATGCTCTCACTTGCTAAATAAGAAGCAACCACTCATCTTTTTTGAACAGTGCATCATACTCAAAAAATGCACCTGTTCTCTAATCACCCTACAAACTTCAAGTGTAGGCATGTAACCTCGAGTCATATGTAACTTAATATGTGAGCACACTAAGCCCTATTAGCGACGGCACCTATACAAGTAATTTCCCAGTAAAACATTTTCTAGCTTAGCAAAATGTAGAAATGTGTTCTAATGACTAACATATAACCAACTAAAACAAAAGAAACAAGGAAACAAGGAGAAATTACTGGAAATGAACAGGTCCTAGTTTCGCTGTTCGTCAGTTAGCGTGCATAGTGTGCATTACGCATATTAAGTTACAAATGACTCGACGATATGCAGTTTCGTTGAAACTCAAAAATTTCACATATTCTTGCCAGTTTGTTGAGAGAGGAGGAAGCTTCGCAAAAGGATTGCTGTAAAAGTTTCAAACAGAAGCTTTTAGCTTAGTTACGGTTAGACAAGGCAAAGAGGCAAAGAATATGATATATGTCAATTACAAAATCACTGCTCAAAAACATCTTTTTCACACCCTCGCCACCAATTGCTAAATCTCGTTAATCGTCTGCTCACACTGTATACACCATGTCGACTTATCTCACTCTTTCTCTTCATTATAAACTTCAACATAATCAAAAACTGTTGTTCGTAACAAGAGTAATGTCCGCGTGACTCAGATGAACTAAAAGTTGCATTTACAATCACAAAAGCTCTTTGAATGAATGCAAATTAATTTGATACATTTTTGAATTTTACGATATCAAATAATTAAGAGAATGAATGTGCTTCTTAATCCTTGAGTTCTGATTTCAAGTTATAGTCCTACCTCGTGGACAATGCGAGCATAAGCCACACCAAAATCCAACTTCTTCAAATCTTTCGGAGGAAGTACACGAGCTTTAATGTGACTGCAAGACATGTCCAGCTTGTGATAACGCAGAACAGGACGATTGCGAGTAATATTCTTGATATAAGCCTTAAATCATGATTCGAATCGAAAAGGTGGAAAACTTACAATTCAAACCTTGTCTCCACTGAGGACTTTACTGCACAGCACATGCTCTGTTTCAGGCTTATGCAAGAATTCAGGATTACTTTCGATTTGGAAGGGATGAGAGGGAAAGGAGCCGATTTGGCGCAACTGCAACAAACAATTTGTGCTGCGTTACACTGAAACATTGTTCAACACTGCATTGCGCCATGAAAGGCGAACTCTTTACTATTTTTTGAAAACAAAATGTGTTTTTTAAGCTCAAACGGAAAAAAATTTGAGTTTTGTTTAGTTACGCATAACTTTTGCGCCAACATAATACATAATATCAGAGGCCAGATTTGAGTATTATATGCGCTACAGAGATTTTTCCAGTTGAACCGTGTTGTTGAACATGCTCGATACAAATAAAGCAAGGCAAACACCACAGGCAGCTTTTCACAGCGATTGGCTGAGCCCTCTCACTAAACCATTGGCTTTTGACCTTTGGAGGAGTGCCTACACTCCATCTAAGGACAGTAAAGAAACGGAGTTAGGATATCTTTTTTCACAGATTTGATTTTATGCACAGTATAGTATTACCACATCGTACACTTTTGTGCACTAATATTTTGTTCCTATCAATCTAAAAAGCAAGTCAAGTAACCACTGGCTAAATACCCGGCCCATCCCAGACCTATAAAAACAGTATGTTAGAGCGTCACCATCCCTATTTCTGCACAACCTTTCCCTGTGCCCACTTCCACGCGCCAGTTCTCTATCCTCGGTTTGTTTTGGTTCAGCACTGAGACAATTGCATCAGGAACTTCGTGGCCTCAAAGCGTGTTACATGGCGCGCCGCGGCCCTTGAAATTTTAGCCTCGCATGCCGCGGCCATAGCTGAACTTGAGAAAATTTTTTGGGAGCGTCGCGGCTCAACCACATCACTCGGCGGGCCGCGAACCTTATCAAAGGTCGCACTTCTTACACGCTTTAGGTTAGGGCGCAACACGCGTGAAGTACGCCGCAACGGTAGGCCTATCCTAGGTGTTTATGGGGCTACGTAACGCTTCTCGGATATGGTTCTCTCCGACGGAGCTGAATTTCTATGCCTACGAAATGGGGCAGGCGGGCACCGGAAAAATAATGGCTGACTTCTCGCACCTCGCTCGCGGATTTTTTGAAAGCAATCAGGACTTTTCGGGACGTCGCTTGCTGAGTTCTCAAATCCTCAGATATTCAGCAATATATCTGCAAAAGATAAGAGTAAAAAAATTCAACAGGCGGACTTTCAAAAACCCGCTGACCATTTGGAATTTGCGGGCGGAATGCGAAATGTCAGCAGCGCGTATTTTCCGGCGCCCGCGTGCTTCCGGCGATTGTCTGAGTATAGGCGCCTAACGGGCACTTACAAGATGCGCCGATTGTCACTTATCGGGTCTAATAGCGGTTTACCGGAGAGCTCGCGGCATGGATGATTGGTGGTTAGGCTAGCACCCGCGAACTTTTCAATGCACTTATCTGAGTATGCCCAGTTACTCCCTGTGCCTACTCCCGGCCCTCTAGCTCAAACTTTGAAGATTAAAACGATAAAAGCGATAGATTAGCCTAAAAACTTATAGTGTTTAGTGATCAGCGTGCTCGATTACCCTCCCCTCCCCCTTCTCCCGCGCTCAAACTTTACAAAAAATCGACAAAATCTATAAAGTCGATATTAATCGATAACGAGAAGTCCTACGACACCCGCCCCACTCCGAAGTGTGTGTGCAAAGTTCGGTCCGGATAGGTCCAGAAGTGAAATTTTTTCTAGCGTACAGACAGACAGACATACATGCAAACAGACATTCGGCTATATAAATGAGCCATTAGATTATTCCCAACAGTCATACAAACGGGGAGATGTGAAGCTCGTTTTGATCTCAAAACTAGGAAGATGAGGATGAATGCGAAACTTTGTTGAGGTAAGATCTGGACAAAATGAAAGTAGGGAAGACAGCTGGTTATGCATTGTTGGATGCGCAAGGAAGAAGTTGAAGCATAACATTAAGGGACGCATGCATTGATTTCCGAAGCTTCTTCTGAAGCTGTGATCCCCTCCCCGCCGGGGAGGGGATCACAGCTTCAGAAGAAGCTTCGCATCCTGAAGCTCCAGATATCTGGATTTTACGCTGTCTACCTATCCATAAGCACTCCCAGCATTCTTCACTATGAACTTCTTCGGGAGCAAGAAGCTATACAAGCTGCATTTTTCGGAATTTGTATGATCCCCTGATGATCCCTCGCGGCCGGACGTCTTTCTTTTAAAGTCATTTTTCTTCCTCCAAAGTCAACGAAAACTTTCCAAAGTTGTACTGATTATCTAAACCAGCTAAGCATGTTGCTGATAAGACAAATGAGTCTTTGAAATATCGATTTTTTCGATAAATCCCATTCGACGTGTGGTTCATCGCAAATTTCATGATTCGAAACATCATTTGTTCTCACCAGAAACATGATTAGCACTGTTGGGTTAGAACAGCACAACTTTAGAACGATTTTATTGACTTCGAAAAAACCAGCCAAGGATCATCAGAATATCAAACAAAAGACCGAAAAATGCGGCTTGTATAAATTCTTGACCCGTTCAAGAGTGAAGGAAGGTGGGAGTACTTACGATTAGGTAGACAGCGTTAAATTCCGATATGTGGAGCTTCAGGACATGAAGGTTTCTTCTGCAGCTACAAACTTTCCCCGGCGAGGATGTTAATTCATGCGGCCCTAAGAGTGGAGGAGGAAGAAGGAGTACAGAGGGCGGCAAGAAAGGAAAGCAAGTCTTCAAACAAAATTTTTCTACTACGGTAAACAACGGCAAAGCGGAGCGGGAATGCTAGCTAATAATTTTATTAGGTCGGTGCAAAAGTTAGTGCTGTTTTTCAGACAATGCTGAAACCATTTAGAATGAAGATAGACAAACGCTGTGAACATTGCCCGATGCAGAATTTCTTCCTCTTTCTAAAGGTTATGTTCTTGTAGATTCCTTTGATGTTGGCTCAATAATGAGCAGGGATCTCCAACCCATATTCAGTTTGGCTATTTTTTGAAAATTCCATTTTTTTGGACTAGCTTTGATAAAAGTTGGATAGAGTAAACAAAATGCAATACAAGAACTATTTCGGCTTTATCATTTAACTCTTCGATATTTCATAAGATAATTTTTCCAAAAGCTTGCGAAGTCTCGAAATATACAATCGCCTTAAACACTGAAAATCTTCGGAATTAAAAGCTTTCAAAAGCAGATTATGACTTAGCACTAATCTTAGCGACTGGGAATTGCGGTTCGAGATATTGGATTTGAATTTTGTAGGTACAGCCTGGGACGCGTCTGAGAGCAAAAATTACAGTGATTTTACCCTCAAATAATATACAAATTAGGAAGAAGTCTATCAGAAAGAGAAAAAAAGCTGCATCGAATGACACCTTCTCAGACAATCGCTGGGGGCAGGCGGGCACCGAAAAAATAGATTGCTGATTTCTCGCACCCCGCTCGCGGATTTTTTGCAAAGCAATCAGGACTTTTCGGAAGACCGCTTGCTGAGTCAGCGGATTTTTGAGAGACCGCCTGTTGAATTTTTTTTTCGCTCTTATCTTTTGCAGATATATTGCTGAATCTCTGAGAAATCGAGAACTCAGCAAGCGGTCTTCCGAAAAGTCCTGATTCCTTTCCAAAAAATCCGCGAGCGGGGTGCGAGAGATCAGCAATCTATTTTTCCGGTGTCCGCCTGTCCCCGGCGATCTGAGTTGGTTGCTAGTCGTTTTTCGTTCTGGAGGATTGAGGCTCCCAAAGATGGAATTTGATAGCATCAAAAAAATATTTTCAAGAATTTTGAGAATTCAGCTTAACCAGAAAATACCAGAAAAATGTATTGTATTGCATTTTGTTCAATCTATTCAACTGTCATCAAAGCTAGTACAAAATTTGGAAATTGGAATTTTTAAAAAAGCCAAACTGAAGATGGGTGAAGATTATGGGTTGAAGACACTGCCGATTATTGAGCGCACATTGAGGGAATCTGAGCAAAAACATAACCACTAGAAAGAGGCAGAAATTCTGCATCGGACCTTGCTTAAAGCGTCTGCCTAACTTCATTCTAAGTGATTCGACCATCGGTCTGAAAAACAGCGCGAACTTTTGGACCGACCTAATATGATGGAACTTAATGCTGTACAGTCTGCCCCACTCGAGATCAGGCCGAGACGTCGGTGTGAATTTGCGCGCTCGCAGCGCTAGCGGTCTGCGCTGCATATGCGCGCTGTTGGAGAGAGCAGAGAAGCAGGCCGTGGGTGTGACCGCGAAACACTAGCGACGCGGACTCCCGCTATGCCAATTTTGGCCTGGTTGGAATTGGGGCACACTGTACAGTCTGTTAAGGCGACCATATCACTGTACTGTCAACACATCTGCACATATACGGTCGTGCAAACCAATCTGTACAATGTTCTAAATCTAAATGACCTTATACACTTATGTATATACCAGTGCGTCACCTCTGCTTCGTAGAGGCTCGCACTGTTCTCCTATCTCTATCACTCATTCTCGCATAACATGACATTGGAACTTACCGCGCAATGCCTGCCTTCACGAATGAATCGTAAACAATTATTCATTTATTCCGCTTCGCGGCGCTCTGAACTGGCTGTGTGTGTAAAGTTAAGATGTGACTAAAACTAAAAGTTAGAACTTACGAAGTTCTGCGGAGAACCTTTTCCTAAGATACGGTAAGATTTTTTTGACACTTAATCTAGGAGATTATCAAAGTCAAGGGTAAGGAATCTTCCCTGCTGTTGAGTTCCGAAGTTTTCCTAACCAAAGTCTCAACAAAATTTTGACTGCTTTCTCCCAACTCTTTTATCCGCACCGTTGTTTCCTCCTATGCTTAAACGGATAGATAGTTTTGTATGTATACTACTGCGTTTTGCAAACCTCCGTTGTCCTTCTTTTAGCCAATTTGCCTTCTTTCCCCTCTCCCCCACCAAGTCCTTTTTGCACGAAAGATTCTAGATGAAATCCCTGATCTACTAATCCTTTCATTCCTACACTTCTCAGATCTAACACAATCTTTTTTGGGTCATGCCTCGAAGCTGCTGTATTCAAATGCGCCGCTTACACGTTTGCCCAAGCCACGGTTCAGCATCACGTCTGCGGTTTGATGCAAATAGCAGTGTTGAACTGTTGAAAACTCTCAACCTCCATTCCCTCATTATCTTTGACTACGATTCCCATGAGGGCAAATGCAGCGCAAACCCTTTGCGCTGCGGACGCGCGTTTCCGCCGAAGGTTTCAGCCTTATTGCGATTGAGACATATTGTACCTGACAAAGTTATCATTCCTTCGACATTTTGCTTCTATCCAGATACTCCAAACTTTTAAAAACTCAAAAAAGTATATCTGGCCGAAGTGACTGTCTCACACTCGACGGAGTTCTCCCAGCCTTGACTACTTCCTTGCTCTTCCCATCCGGGGTCCTGTTTCCCACATTGGGTGTCACTACTTGCATGGAACCTCCATTCCCCCTCCCCCCTCAAAAACTTCTTCGAGTTCTTATTTTTGAACTGGTAGATCAAATCAGCAAGAGGATAGAGGCTGAACTGTCAAACACCCATGAAATTTCTGCCAAACTGGGCAAAAATCTAGGCTACTAATTATTTCATGGAATTCTACCATCGAAGCGTGTTTCTGCTTTCAGCTGCTGAGCTAAGCAAATCTTTGCTGTTCATACGATTTTTCGGGGAGGCTGTCGTTTGGCGGAAATGTGGTTATTCGATTCTACCGCTTTAAGAGTGTACGAAAGGGCATAGGCATACTGATCAACAATTCGAAAATAGGCTTAAGCAGAAAATGAGTCATCAGTTTAGGTGCAGTGGGTGCATTCGAGACAGACGGAATTGTTGACATCGTCCCGGCAGCGTGACGTCAGATGGCCCCCCTGCGCTTTATATAGAGAGATGATGATTAGCTTAGCACAAAATTTCTTGTTTTATGAACTCACTAGCTGGCTTGCCCGGCTCCGCCGGGCCTGCCAGCTAGACCCGTGTACGTATGTTCCGAATAGAAATTTTTATCTCTGAACCGATTGGGACCGAACTTTGCACACATACACTTCGGGGCAGGGAGCGTGTCACAGCCCACTTTTCGTTATCGATCGATGTCGATTTTACCGATTTTTTGCAAAATTTGAGCTAGGGGGCTAGGATTTTGCACAGGGGGGTAATCGAGCATGCTGATCACCCCTTCGGGGTGATCAGCATGCTCGATTACCCCCCTCTGCCAAATCCCAGCCCTCTAGCTCGAATTTTGCAAAAAATCAATAAAATCGATATCGATCGATAACGAAAAGTAGCCTATGACACGCTCCCTGCCCTGAAGTATATGTGTGCCAAGTTTGGTCCCGATCGGTTCAGAAATAAAAATTTGTATTCGGAACATACGTACATACATACAGACAGACAGACAGACAGACAGACAAACAGACATTCAGCTTTATATATAAGATTCGTGGTGCTTCCAGAAAGAAAAAAGTTTTCTCCACAGTGCTTCAAAGGCAGCATCTTGTTGGTTGGGCTCAGAGAATAAAGCGTCCATTATCACACTCACCACAAGGACGATTTTTTTGGTGACTGCCATTTCGGATCAGGACATATTTCGCAATATCGAGTTTGCGTGATATTTTCTGGACGCTAATGGGTCCTATCGTCTGAAGTAGTGTCAATTTCTTAGAAAGTATTCCAAGAGAGGTATACACAAGTTTGTTCGGTTTGTCCAAAATGTTTGATCGTGACGTGACGTAAACTAGGATGATCAAAAACTTCAGAAAGCATACGGCCCACCGGGAGGTCGTATTATACGAAATGGCAGGCCATGTACACCTATGTCGTACTGTCGTACGTCAAAGGCAGGGATATTCTTGAATACCACAGAATTTCTGCCATAGTGCAAAGATCCCATGTCCAAGCCTAGATTCGTTCTTTTGAGATGAATCTATGGAGCCGCGCCACCGTCATTTGTTTAGGAAGTTGATGCAAAAGTTTTTGCTCATTATTTTGGAAAAGTCATGACTTCTTGCTCTTTCAATGGCATTGCACAAACTTAGATTTGCTAGATAGAAGAGATCTTTTTTCAAAAGAATGTCTCACCCAAAATTCGGGTAGTGCGGATCTCTCCAAAATCTTCAGAACGATTGCGGTTTTTTCGTAGATTAGTTGCGGCACAGTGGCCGCATTCTCGCAGACTTCCCGCGAGAATATGCAAAATTGTTGAAAGCTGCACGGTCCTTTGTAAATGACCGCACATCCCCTAGGTACTTTCCGTTAAAGGAAAGCTCGGGTAACTGAACCATCAGTGACACCTTTGCACAAAATTCTCCCCTTATTACAGAGCGGTGAAAGGCAGTTAAAAACCAGAGTCTCATCAAAATTTAGTTGCCGGATCTTTGCATTTTTTATATTCATTATATTCATTCATTCATTCTACTCTCACACCAAGTGGTTGATTATCGTCTGTCGTCCAATGCCGGCTAAGCTTAAAGGCAGCGTCCCGGCAGATTTTACATTTCCATCTTTTTGAATAATTTGGGCCTTCTCGACCTTTAGATCCGAATCTGAGCTTCAAAAGGGGTGAAAAGGCCTTTTTCGGGGCGTTTTTTCAATTTCCAAAAAGCAGCTCGGACGAGAATTTTCAAATGAAAGTCAGGAGGCCCTGACACGAAGACCCTGCTGCCTGTAATTTTGGCTTTGTATAGCATGCACAATGCGGAAAAGCGGTTGGGGTCCCGCGCCGTATAGCGGAGAGCACTCGTCGGAACAAGGTGTTAGGGAAGCGAAAGGAGGAAGGGGAGCGACGCTTGAGCCGCCCCTCTGGCTTGCAGAGTTCACATTTTTGGCGCGGAGTTGCTGTTTTTCCACTTGGAGGGCCTCCTATCCATCTGTGTCAAAATCTGAGGTAGGTCAATCTGCCGAGCCGCAACACTAAAGCCACCAAAACCACGTCACTTTCTGCATCAATTCCAGATCTTCATTCTCAGGCTGCGTTCATACTGATTCCCTTGTTCTGGAACTGTTCCCGCACAGTTCTCGCACTGTGCGACTGTGCAACTGTGCGGGAACTGTGCACAGTTCCAGAACAAGGGAATCAGTATGAACGCAGCCTCATGCGTCTACCCCTACAGCTATGGAGCAGAATTATATCAACACTGGCAGCCGTGGTACGACAACGAACTCGAACGAGTCTGAGGATCAGCTGATTGCCCAGCTGCATTCGATAATCGTGAACAAAGTACCTGACGCCCTGCCACTGTTTGAAAAACTCTTGACGTTTCTCAATAGAGACCTACATACCATTGTGGAAGCAGAGAAAAGATGCAGGTCTTTGGTGATTTACGGTGTCGAAGAAGCGAGGAATGATGCTGCTCCCTCTGAGAAGCTGAAACATACTGGACAGCTGTTTCTAAAATCCTTGATGTCCTTGAAGTTGAGGCTCGCCCAACGGAAGTGTACTGCATGGGCTCGTCCACTTCAGGGCGACCTAGACTCATTAAATGTGTTTTGCCCTCCCAACGATTTGTCTTCAAGGCATTACGGAATGCTCCGAAATTACGTTCCTTAGAAGGCCACAACCAAATCTTTATAAGAAAGTCGATGACTCGAGAGGAACGCGCCAGAGACAAAGAGTTGCGAAAAAAGCACATGAAATGAACCTAGAGCATAATAGAGTAAAAATCTATGTGGTGTATAGAAATGAAATAGTTAAGACCTCTGACATCCCAAACATAAAATCATCTCTTTCAAAAAACTGAAAATGTTTCCTCCAGATAAACTTTTATGACTTTTGTTCAATGCCAGAAGCCTCACCAACAAATTTCCTGAGCTACATCACCTCGTTTTTTGTATGAAAGCTGCTATAGTTTTTATTACTGAGAGTTGGCTAACATCGAACGTTTCTGATAATGAAGTGATTTCTGGCTTGCCGTACTCTATTTTACGCAGTGATCGATTCCACAAAAAAGGCGGTGGTGTATGTGTTCTTATTCATATTGAATTATTGTATCAAATTTGTCGCATTGACTTTGATTCCCAACTTACCTACAACATTGTGGCATTTGATGTTATGTTCGAGTTCCCCAATAAGTATCGATTTGTATTAAACCGATCTCCTAGTGCCACTACACAGGAGGATGATGAACTACGCTCTATCCTATCTCACCTCGCATCCGATAGCACCAAGACCATAGTATTAGGTGATTTCAACTTGAGCGGTGTAGACTGGAAATTGAAGAAAACGAAAACGCTTTTCTCCCGTAAATATCTAGACCTGTTTGACTGTTCTAAAATGAACCAAGTAGTTACGTTGCCTACTCGAGGTAACTCCATCCTGGACATTGTTCTTGCTTCTGCAGGCCTTGTCTGCTTCGAAGGGAAATTACCTCCCCTTGGTTGTGCTGACCATGCTATAGTCAAATTTACCTTAGAAATGCCAAAAATCAAGGAATGCACAAATTTAGTGCGGGATTTTGATTCTGCTGATTTTGCTACCATCAATAGAGAAATAGCAGCCATTAATTGGTTTCAAGTATTTGATGGATATGTTGATATTGATGATTTCTACTCAAGAT